TATCAGCTTCTAGCATGTAGCCACCTCCAGAAACCCTTTAAACCTTAGAAAGCCTTTGCCTGATTCAGTTCATTGACATCTACATCAGTCTCAGGTTGATGACTAGGATTAGAAATGCAAGCAGACAACTGAAGAAAAGTACCAGATATCTGTCTGACATCACTTTTGCTGTAGTGCATTAACCAAGCCTACTACATACACTGTTGTAAGTGCATTTTAGATGTTAAATTTTGCTTTTCAATTTTCCAGAAACTTAATAGTTCTCTCACCAATCGAAACCATTTTGGTCTGTATCCATCTTTACACTTGGGAGAGTGAATATAGACAGGTGAGCATGTTCTTTATGTCTAAACCAAGAAAAACAAGAACTCACCCTTTGGACAGCTGGTAAAACAGAGGGAGAAGCTGCACAGAATATTTTATTTCAGAAGGTTTTAACTTAGAACTGGATTTCTTCCAATGTTAATGCTAGCATTTATGAAGTGCTGGACTCAAACCGCAGCAATGACAATTAAACTCAAACCAATTCTCAGAAAACAGACTCCAAGAATTCTCTTTAAAAATCAGCTAATGGATGATGGTAGTTGCAATTTCAACTAGTGTTCACAGTATGTATGACAACAAAGCAGACTTGTATGCATATTTTTTTTAAACTGAGGATTTATTGGAAAGAAATTTGATCCCATATCTTTTCAGCAATATAGGATATTTAACATTTTATATAGACTGTATTCAAGTAGAAAAGATTACATTAAAAATTTCTAATATTGCACTTGGGACAAGTCATGGCTAAGCTACTAACATTAGCATTCCAGAACAAAATCATATATAGTCTTCAGAATTTTAGTGAGCTGCCTTGTGTTATCATTTAGATTTTTTTACAGATATTTTGATGTACTATTCAACTTGAGCTCACTGCTAAGAGTAATTCCTGTAATTTAAAGGTAAAGGCAAGCAATATGCTGTATGCTACCAGGAATGATTTTGGCAATTTCTTCATTCACAGTATTTCACACTTCAGCCAAAATACTGTAGCAATTCATTTAACTCTTGTACAAGACCCCAGCATACACATGAAAGACTTCAATGCACATGGGAAGTGAAATACACAACTCCTTTTACACATTATTTCCGCCAAATTACCACATAGGCAGGAACCTTTTGTGGCTCACTAAAGCGACAAATGGATTAACCAGCATTTGCACACGGCGAGACGTGCAGTCTTCACATGCCAGACACAGCAGAGGAGTGTAACTGGCATCTTTTCACATTATAGCAGTCTCTGGCCAATGAAGTCCCAACAGAGATGGTCACTGCAACAAAGCCTGAATGGGGGAGAAATCCAAAAGGGAATCCTGGCAAGTTGCAGATGGGGATTCTCATAGAAGTGTAAAGGAGGAATTAACCACTGATTATTAGTATTAGGGATCAGTGAAATTGATTATAAAAAAAAAAAAGAAAATCCCTCTATACACATTCCCAAACATGCTTAAAAGGGGAAGAATAATCAGGAATCATAGCAAGTGGCAGCCTGATGGCTGCTGGGTAAATCAGGACAGGGCTTAATTAGTAACTAAAGCTGTTGCTCTGAACTCGTATTTAAAGATCTTGCTACATGCGTATTGATTAAGATTTGCATTTTATAGAAGCATGAAGGTTTCTGCAGATGAAATCTGCACTGTGAGAGAAAAGCCATGAACTTTACAATTTGGTTGCACAGTGGGTGCAAAGGGTGGAAAACTGCAGTTCAGCAGCAGCTTCTCTCCCCTCTTGTATCTTGTTCACATTCCCAAAACAGGTTCACTTACAACAGTTAAAAACCTTTTAAAGATACCCTTTCTTTCCTTCACCTTTAAACCCAGCTTTACTTCTTCAGAAAAAAAAAGAATGTTAAGCGTCACTAAGGTCCACTGTATTAGTAGCAGCAGTTTCAATTTTTATGTAAAAATAGCATTCACAGCTCTTACTAATGATGCAATTAAACTTTCGCTTTAGTAAGCAGTATTACATAAAAAGCAGAGTCATTTACTTGGACCAGCACTTTTTGTCTTAGTTTAGCAAATCGCCCAAGTAATCTAGCTCTTTGTAGGGGCCCTGCTGATGCAAGGAACAAGTCTACCCGTATGTATAGACCCACAGGATTAGCCTAACAAAAGGACCAGCCTTCACTGTGCATGCCCTTAAGAGTAATAGTTTTCTTCCACTGTTATTTACCATGACAAACGTTTGGGGTATTCTAATACAATCCGTAGCACTTGTTTTATTTTGCTGTAGGTCCTGTAAAAATCATGCAATCATATGGTTGCAAGTTACTGTTTTCAGCCACAGAACCGCCCCCCCCCCCCCCACAGTAACCCCACAGTAAGCTGCGGCTATATGAAAAGATGAGCAGATCATGCTTTGGAAACTTGGCTCAAAATTCAGTACTGGATACCAGGAAGCTGCATTTTAGCAGATGATCTGTAGACATTCATCCATCTCTGGATGTCAGTCATTCACACAAATCTTTGTTTAAATGATGTGATGCATCTCCAATAAAGTGTTAAAAGCGAAGTGTTACATAAGCAGCCAAGTGTTAGGTAATTAGCAAAACACAGAATAATGGAGCTTTGACTCTCAGGATAAGAAAAGCTGCACTTTCAATGGTATGATCTGTACTCTCCTAAAAACCTGAGCAAGTATCCCCATAAGTGAGAAAAATAAATCAGATGCCACTCTCTTTACTGATATACTAGATGTGATTGTAGTTACCTACTGGACATGTCGTCTACTGTCTTTCATTGAATTTTGTGATGCTTTTCTTTTCAGAAAGCCTAAAAAGGCTTAAATTCTACTTTGAATATGACTTCCCTACC